GCTTTGATTATTAATGAAAACAACAACACAACTAAAATGTGCGATATTAGAATTGTATATTAGTTCATTGGGGAGAAATGTGTAATGTGATTGCTTGCTGAGTTCTGTTGATTTATTACAATCTAGTATATTTCAAATTGACCACATCCAATCAGATTACCTTCATACTGCATTCTAACCCGTACGCTCAGCTATACTTATATAACCTCATAATGGAAGTAAATACAGACTGCAAAATGCCATATACCAGTAGAGGTTTTGACACAATCAACAGAGAACCTAAATGTGTGCAGTCCATGGAAAAGGTGTTTCAGTGCATGCAATGTAAAAATAGCTTCACTCAGTCTGGTGGTCTAAAACATCATATGCTTACACATACAGGATCGAAGTCATTCCAGTGCAAAACATGTAAGAAGTGTTTTACTCAGTCGTGCCATCTAAAAGACCACATGCTTGTACATTCAGGGGTGAAGCCATTTCAGTACAAACAATGTGACAAATGCTTCACTCAGTCGGGTAATCTAAAACAGCACATGCATACACATACAGGATGTAAGCCATTTCAGTGCAAACAATGCAAGGAATGCTTCACTCAGTCTAGTAGTCTAAAATATCACATGCTTATACATACAGGATTGAAGCCATTTCAGTGCAAACAATGCGAGAAATGCTTCACTCAGTCTGGTAACCTAAATAATCACATGCTTACACATACAGGATTGAAGCCATTTCAGTGCAAACAATGCAAGAAATGCTTCACTCAGTCTGGTGGTCAAAAATATCACATGCTTACACATACAGGATTGAAGCCATTTCAGTGCATGCAATGTAAAAATAGCTTCACTCAGTCTGGTGGTCTAAAACATCATATGCTTACACATACAGGATCGAAGTGATTCCAGTGCAAAACATGTAAGAAGTGTTTTACTCAGTCGTGCCATCTAAAAGACCACATGCTTGTACATTCAGGGGTGAAGCCATTTCAGTACAAACAATGTGACAAATGCTTCACTCAGTCGGGTAATCTAAAACAGCACATGCATACACATACAGGATGTAAGCCATTTCAGTGCAAACAATGCAAGGAATGCTTCACTCAGTCTAGTAGTCTAAAATATCACATGCTTATACATACAGGATTGAAGCCATTCCAGTGCAAACAATGCGAGAAATGATTCACTCAGTCTGGTAACCTAAATAAACACATTCTTACACATACAGGATTGAAGCCATTTCAGTGCAAACAATGCAAGAAATGCTTCACTCAGTCTGGTGGTCTAAAATATCACATGCTTACACATACAGGATTGAAGCCATTTCAGTGTAAAAAATGTAAGAAGCGTTATACTAGTTTAAGGTATCTAAAAGAGCACATGCTTTGTACATAGAGAGGTGAAGCCATTTCAGTGCAAACAATGTGACAAACGCTTTACTCAGTCTTGTAATCTAAAACAGGACATGCTTACACATACAAGATTGAAGCCATTTCAGTGTAAACAACGCGGGAAATGCTTCACCCAGTCTGGTCGTCTAAAAAATCACATGCATACACATACAGGGCTGAAGTTATTCCAGTGCAAAGAATATGACAAGAGTGTTGTATATTCAAGCGATCTAGGAGAGCAAAGGCACACTCGAAATATCCAGTTCATAAAGACCGCTAATCAGCTGGAGAAGAGATCATTGGTCGGGTTAGAATTTTTGAAAAGTACTCAAGGGGACAATAGGAGTGGCATTAAAAAAGTGAGCCAGGGAACAGAGACATTCAGAATGTGCTTTCGTTCTAGAAATAAGAAGGCATTGAAAGGGAATGAGAAGTTGAGCTATAAAATTAATAAACTGGACCAACATTTTGTAAAAAGTAAGGGCACAGAAACCTTCAGACATGTGGTATTTTTCTAATTCGCCATGTATCAAAACGTGTGATGACATTTAGATCATGATATTTTGATATGAAATACAACAGACAACGTTTTTTATTGAATAAAGATGATTATAGGATTGTAAACATGTACATGTTTGTTTTTAAATATAGTGGATAGCAATCTAGTGTGTGTTGCCATTCACATCTGGTCCCAAGGTATAGCTATTGGTACAGTGGGATTATTATTAGTCATGTATCATTGAAAAACAACTTTTATTTTAATTTTATTTTGTACTGTCATATTTAGTATGCAATATTAGAAAAGTATTCCAGTTTATTACTGCATAAGTTCCAATCTAGATACATTTATGCAACAAATGTCAACATTAAACAGGAATCTGAGTGTGAGTAAATTTGTATTTTGAAAATATACACATAATGTAATTATAATATTTTAAAGTTTGTTTTAGATTGTTACCCAGTAGTCTGCTGGTAGAGGCATTTAGTACACTGTCAATGAATTATTATTAATAACAATAGTTAAAGATGATTACAATAATATTTCATTCTGTGGCTGATAATTATTTGTGTGATATGTTAGCTATTTATTTAATTTGTCATTAAGTGTTCTTTTCGTACATCAAGTGGATGTAATACTTAAAATTGGATTATACTTTTCTTACATGGACAAGTATGGTGACATTCTCATCAGCGGAAACTCGTGGTATATTATTCGTATTGAATTCATACCACGATTTGGTCATTGATATTTTTTAGCCCGGAAGTACATGG